AAAGAAGGGTCCCAACCCGAAACGTCAACTTTCCTGCTCCTCTGATGCTGCCTGGCCTGCTGTGTTCCTCCAGCTCCACACTGTATTCACTGCCTTAACCCTCATCAATCATCATCTTCAAGCAGTAGCGGGGTGGAGAAATTTGAGATCCAGTGGCACCATGGGTGTGTGTGTGTTTTGAGCAAGCTTCACCCAGAGACAGATTGCTGATTGGTTTGTGCAGTCAGGGCCAGTTGTGGAGGCCAGGAATCATCAGCATAGCAACAACGCTCTGACTGGCTCCTGGGTAGGTAGACAGAGAGTGTGTGAACAATACAGAGGCAGAATGTGTCCAGACTGCAAGAGTCAGCACTTCTCTTTGGTGATGTAATCGAGAACTGAAAGAGAGCTAACCTCTCCCACCGTTAGCTACACTATTAGCTGTTACCTTTAACTAGTTACTGAAAAACCGAGCCATTAATTTATCAACCACGTATGGGTCTGGAGTCACATGTTAGGCCAGACCAGGTAAGGATGACAGATTTACTTCCCTAAAGGATATTGGTGACAATTTTTACATTGGTTACATCGTTGAGATTAGGCTGGTTTTCCTTATTGAATTCAAATTGCACCATCTCCCATGCTGGGATTTGATCCAATGTCGCACCGTCTTTGGGAGAAGAATGGCAATACAGTTTCAAATCAGGATGGCGTGTGCTTTTGGAGGTGGTCATGGACTTTACCAGCCTTATTTTTCTGGGATAAAATAAGACAGAAAACTCTGGATGCTGAAGATCTGAAACAAAAATAGAAGTTGCTGGACAAAACTCTGCACGTCTGGCAGCGTCTATGGTGAGAAAGCAGAGTTAATGATTCAAGTCCGGTGACTTTTCTTCAGAACTGTAGATCCTTCTGAGGAACAGTGACTGGACTTGAAGTGTTAACTTTTTTTTTTCTCTCTCCGCAGATGGCTGCCAGACCTGCTGAGTTTCTCCAGCAATTTCTATTTTTATCTTTGTGTGATAGGAATTGCAAGTTTGGGAGATAATGCCTGAAAACGAAGCCATTATGTCAGTCCTGTGGACAGGACACATGGGGCCATGGTGTGAGTGCTTAAGATGCTGAATGAGATGGTGATCAAGCACACTGTTTTGTCCTGGATGCTGTTGAACATGTTGAGTTATTGTCAGAGCGACACTTATCCCAAACAGTGAGTTAAGCATATTGGAGAAACGTGGCAAAGTGGCTGTGTGTCCAAGCTCTGACCAGTACTGAGTAAGTTTGCTCTTTATGAACTCGGGCAGCAGGATAGGCCAGAGGGCTGTAGAATTACAGCCACTCGATCCTGGCCTCGGCTGGTAGTTCAGGTTTACCGTGAAGTGTCACAGCCAGAGTGCCACTTTTTTTTTTTGAGGGAGACGGGTCAACAAACCACTTGCTTTAGTGTCATTGGGAGGTGGGGAGGAGAGTGGGGCTCGGGTAACTGTGCTAAGGGGGAGATATAGTGGTGGTGTCACAAAATCCAGGTTAGATAGAAAGAGACTACGAGCAGATGGGTTGCTAACCAGAGAACACAGGTTTAAGAGTAAGAGTGGGGTTATGCAGTAAGGAGAATTGCTTGTACACAATGAGTTGTTGTGATCTGGTTTACATTTCTTGAAAGGCTGGTCAAAGTAGATTCAACTTCAGATTCAGGCAGCATGGAAACAGGCCCTTCAGCCCAACTCATCCATGCCCATCAGCTTCCCTAAACTGAATTAGTTCCATTTACCTGTGTATGGCCTATATTCCTCTAAACTTTTCTTACCCATGTAGCTGTTCAAATGTCTTTTTTAATTGTTGCAATTGTACCTGCCTCAATCACTTCCTCTGGCAGCTCATTCCATAAACACACCACCTCCTCTGCATGAAAAGGTTGTCCCTTAGGTCCCTTATAAATCTTTCCCTTCTCACCTTAAACCTATGCCCTGTAGTTTTGAACTCCCCTAACCTGGGGAAAAGACCTTGGTTATTCACCTTATCCATGTCCCTCACGATCATACAAACCTCTATAAAGTCACCCCTCAGCCTCCTACGCTCCAGTGAAAAAAGTCCCAGTCTATCCAACCTCTCCTATAACTCAAACCCTCCAGTCTCAGTAACCTCCTTGTGAATCTTTTTTTTTTGTGCAGGGTCATGAGATTAATTGGATATCTCTTTGAAAGAGCTGATACCAGCACAATGGGCCAAATGGCCTGCTTCCTGTGCCCAATAGATTTTGTCTCCAAAACCCAGCTGCCTTTCTGAATGATTTCTGTCTCCGTTGCTGCAGGAGTGAAGCTGGCTGGCTCTCGAGCTGTCGTTATTGGAAGGAGCAAGATTGTTGGTGCCCCCATGCGAGACCTCCTGGTGTCGAACCATGCTACTGTAACCACCTGCCATTCTAAGACAGCTGACCTGCCAGGAGAGGTATGGAAAGCTGTAACCACAGCGATCAGAGGAAAGGGAAGTGGGTGGTGAATGGTTGGAGCATCTCACATTTGGAGACTGGATAAAGTTATCACTAACACACTGACAGGCCTGTTGGGACAAGGGAATCCAGGAAAGAAAAGTGGTGGATGACTTGGACCATGTTTCTTGCCCTTTTGCCAGTTGATTGGAGGAGATGAGGATCTACTTTCTTAACACTCTTAACAGTGTTCCCCTGTGGCAGGGTGCTGGGTACGGAAACATGGGGCAGAATTTAATGGAATTTAACTGGGGTTCAGCTCACCAACTGGAGAAGCTGTGGGAGACCAGTGTTGCTTGTGAGGACTAGGCCCTCCTGGACCAAGAGCCTGTCAGGAGACATTTCACTAGCCAACACCAGGCCTTCCCCAGAGGTTGAAACTCTTCTTAAAATACGAAGTGTGCAGCTCTGTGCAGGAACATTTTAATTCTTAACTTTTCATCTTTTGTGTTGAAATTCCTCCTTAGTCTCCTCCCCGATGCCCAATCACCCACAATCCAAGATCTCTATACCTCTGTGTTTGTCTAATGTTCTTATGCACCTCCCACTCCCTTCTTCCTGTTATTGGTCACCTCAGCCCAAACCTCTGCAACTCCCTCCCTAAATATCTCCATCTTTCTTCACTCACTTGTTACAACTTAGCACTTTGACCAAACTGTCATAATGTGATTGGTCCCACTAATTCTTCTTTGTGGTTCACTACAGATTTTACTCTGAAGGACCTTGTGATGTTTTACTGCATTAAAGGTACTATATCAATGCAAAGTTTTGTTGAAGGAAGCAGGAAATGGGCTGACAGCAAATTAATGTAGGAACAAATTACTGCAGATGCTGGAATCTGTACTGAAAACAACAAATGCTGGAGGTCACAGTGGGTCAGGCAGTTTCCATGGAGGGAGAGCAAGTGAATGTTTCAAGTCTAGATGATTCCATCAGAGCTGAAGTGAAGGTGGAGGTGACAGCATTCATGCTATACTTTGGAGGGGGAGCATGGGGGTGGGGATAGTGGGCGTAGGGTGCTGGTGGAGAAAAGATGTTAATACTTCAGATTAAGTGATCGGAATGTGAGTATGTACATTATCAAGGGGGGG